GATTCTGTCACCCTGTATTGAAGCTCTGCCTCTTTTGGGAGCTCATGCAGTGAGAACAGAAAAAAGATCTTATACCAATGGCAAAGTCACTGAGAAGCTGTCAAAGTTTTAATGGTGCCAGGGGTGGCTGTCACTGAGGAACTGAGCTGTCTAGCCATCCTGGCTTCAAAAGATCCAGGAATTTGTCAGACTTTTATAAACTGAAGTCACAGTTCTTCTTTGGAAGAATTTCTAAGAAAAAAAAAATCTAGGTAGTTCTCAAGGACGCAGACCTACATACATATCAGCTACTATATTTGGTAAAGAGGCCAATTGTGTAGGATTGCAGGGTTTTTTCTAGAATGGAGGAGTGAGGCAGGGCACACTGCAGGCCTCAGGAAAGCTCTCACGACTGCACATGCTGTCAAGGTTATGGATAACAGACCTGGCCACTGAAAACATCCTATAAGCCATGGCTGTGTCTAGGAGTCATGGCAATGCCTCTTCAGGAAGCAGGGGCCAAGGTCTTCCCCCAGCTTCTGGCAGACTGTGCTCAGAACAGACGCTACGCTCCTGACAATCACATCGCTTTACAATGCTACATAGCAAGGCGCTCCTCAGAAATCATTAACTCTCGCCGTTCAGGGACCATCACGAGCCTCACTGACAGGATCCATACCACTTTCTAGTACACATCCTCTTGTTCCTTCATCCAAAAGGTCAACAACAGAAACCACCCATAGATTTGTAGCTTATTCAATGCTGCAGGCAGATTTTACACTTACAAGTGACCCTCAAGAAAAACATTAATGAGAACCCTTTTCAGTTCAACTGATGTTTTCTTCTGCATCTTACACTTAACTTGTGAATGTCCTTAGCATAAGAGCTACGCACAAGCCTTCCTCTTTGATGGCTGTCTAGCTGAATCACAGATACACACTTCCCACCTTCATCAATAATTCCTCCTCTTGCAATTCATTCCCAGGCTCCAGGCTTTTTGGAAACGATGAAGAGAACATTCTAACAAACGGTGGCTCCCCAAAGGCTAAGCTTTCACTCCCTACCTCCCAAAAGAAACACATGCTGGCTTCACCTGACATCCATTGATGGGGGGCGGGGGGAGCACAGCAAACAACCTGAGTCTGGTGTAAAGAGCCACAGCACCGGGCTCAAATCCTGCTCAAACCAGGGCTCGACACTGGTGCAGATTGTAAACCCTGCTTTCTCACGGGCACAGGAGGCTAGTGCACTGCAAAGTGGGGCAGATGGGCAACCTAAAATAGGAACACAACTTGGATTTCTTTCTTTTTTAGAAAGGACACTGTAAACACGAGAAGTAAATTTGCAGGCAACAGGGAGGAGCTTCGAGGAGGCCTTTGCCAGGTGAGACATCACAGTTGCTCGGGCATCATTCCTACTCTTGTGTTTAGTTAAGGAGGAAATACTGTTCTCTGCAGCTCTCTGGAAGCTGCTGGCTGAAGCACAGCTGATCTTCTCAGGCTGGTTAGCTAACATTGATTTTCTGCCCCAGTGGAAGAGATTTTACTCTGATGCATGCCATTTAAATTCATTTTACACAGCTGCTTAATGTGGCTTGGCAAGGCGTAGCCAAGGCAGCTTTGTGGGTCTAAACAGCACTCCTGAGCTGGGAAAGGACAGAGCCTGTGGCTCAGCAGCTGATGAGAACAAATGCTTTTCTGCTTCTGTTAGCTTCCTCTAGGCTTAGGAGTGGACTCTGAAGGAAGCATGGAGAAGAGCAAAAGAGGAAGAGCCAGATTCCCAAGCCTGAGTGTGCGACCCTCACTGGGCAGGGACTTTACTTTGGATACTATGGTCACAGGATTCTTTGTTGTTCCGCATTGAGGCCCGTGTGTACAGAACTAATGGCTCTCCATGACAAAGCGACTCTGCTCTGTCTGTGTCAATGTGGACTGGAAAAAAGACTATGAAAAAGCTTAAGAAGGGACAAGAGCTGGCTGAGTATACTTTTTGCAGGCTGTAGGTAGTTCATCCAGAGGCTATCTCCACTGCCCCTAACAAGGAAGAACAAGGAAGTTGCTTTGGGATAATTCGATGAACATATATACAAAATGATATCATCAATATCATCGCTTAGTAACCCACTCAGTAACACATGCAGTTTATGAACTGTATGGTTCCGTAGCAGGAAAGAGAAGCACTTTTGCTGTCTGTAATTCCCGTACTGATATGGAGACTAAGATGCCACTGTGCATAGGCAGAAGAGCCTTGGTTATTTTGTAGACTTTCCCTGGTCAAGCACTCTAGGCCTCCTTGGAGAAAAAGATAACAGAAACATTGGCTTCAAGGTAGGCTCAGAGATACCAGGAAGCTTCTCCTCTGCCCCGGGTAGCCCAGGCAGCCCTCCTGTCCCAGCGTCCAGGCTCCTGGGATGGGCTCTGGGTGTGGCAGCACAGCACAGGCTCCTCCACAGCACATCAGCACTGAGGGCTGGGAGAGCAGCCTGGGAGACTGCACTGCCTCTGTGGAGATTAACAGTTTCTACTTTTCTTTTCAGGCATGACAGATGCAGGCAGGAGAAAGCCAGGCACAGACAGGACCTGGAGGGAGGCGTGCAGGCCTCCATCACACTGCCATGGGACAATCAACACCAAATTCAACAACAAAACAACGAAAGAAGATGCCCCTGTGACACGGGTCTGCCCAGGCTGCCCGTGGCAAGCCCTGGGTGTGTTGATACCTTGGCCTGGTTGGTGCATCATGGGAACCTGGTACTGCTATGGCTGGGTGCTGGGAAGAAAACATGGGGTGTCCGCCAGTTATGGACTAACGGCATAGGCAGGTGACCTAACCTAAGGTGGCCTATTGTGAAACGGAAGATCAGCATTTTTATGGATTTGTTCTGAAGCACAAGTCTTAGTCCTTGTCCATGTTCTACTCCATGCACAGGTGTGGTGCTTACAGACAGGGATGAGGGAGATTCTATGGAGCTACTGGGGCAGGGCTCTGTAGAGGCAGAGGAAAGGGCCAAAGACACAGAAGAGTAAGGCTCTCATATCTACTCTCAATTTATCAATTAACTTTTAACTTGAGGTAAATAAAATCAATACAAACAGCTGTTTAAACGGCCAGAGCTAAATGTGGGTGGGCGTGTTGTTAAGGCTTTGGATTGGTCTGCTGATTTAAAACAGAAAACAAATGCAGGGCTGTGTGTTAACACATGATTTTCTATTATAAACGGATTCAGAAAAGGAGCATGGCCAGACTTTCATAGTGGGGCCCAGCTTGCTCTCCTGGCCACTGCCCCCTGGCTGCCACCAGAGGCCTTGTCAGATGCAATCGCATACTTCCTACTTAACAGAAGGGAAGTAACTTGGTGTTATGAATTGCAACAATGGGGGTTCATTGAAGCCATTTACAATGGGAGCAGCTGTGCCAGGCTCCAGCAGACTGTCTATTCAAACACTGCCGTGGCCTGGAGGTCTGGCTGCGGGGTGGACACTCAGGGTCAAGAGATTTTAAGTGAGTATAAAGGGCTAAGACAGAGTTGAGAGGTAATTACGGATTTCCATTTAATTCCACAAAGGAAACACGTCCCTGCTCAGAGCAGAGAATGAGATTGAGAGGCCTTGTGTTCCCAGAACACCAGCTTTACACAGACATCATCCATCTACACATATACCACCTCACCCACACATACATCTAAACGCACATGTTCACAGACACCTACACATACATCTAAGCACATCCAGGTTCACAGACACATCTAAGCATATGCATGCACATGGATATTCATACAGACACATCTAAACACACATGTTCATAGACACCTACAGACACTTAAACACACCTAAACACATGCATGTTCACAGATACCTACAGACACATAGACATCAAAACATACATGTTCATGGTCACTCACACACATACTTAAATACAACTAAACACGTCCAGCTTTCACACAGGCGACAACAGACACATCTAAACTCACATGTGTTCACAGACATCCCCCATAGACACATCTAAACACATACATGTTCAGACCCACATACACACACCTTCATGCTTGCACTAGCAGCTTTGATTTCTTGTTGACAAGACCTACTTTTCCTGACTTCTGAAGGAGCACTGAGACCTAGAGCTTCCAGGGTGCTTTTAAAAAGACAGACTGTATCTGCTCCTTCCAAAACATGCTCATTTTTGCTTCCTACATTTTTTAATTACGCCACTTTGTCGCAGGTCAAGTATTTAAGAATTAATATTAAGAATTAGGATTAAAACTGCAGAGGGAAGGCAGAGCTTTGCTCAACCACTTAAATTTTCTGAATTATTATTTTTGTTTTGACAATCACATTTGGTTGGGAGAGAAAAACGTTCCGATAATAAAATATAAAATTCCATACATACTCATTTAGACCAGCACACAGAACACATGCATACACTTACAAGATTTCCATCTCTCTCTCTCTCTCTTTTTCTGAGACAAAGCTCACTATGTAGCTCTGACTGGTCCAGAACTTGCTTTGTGGTCTTGGCTGGCCTCAAGCTGTAGAGCTCTGCCTGCCTCTTGCCTCCTAGTGCTGGGATCAACGGCGTGTGCCACCAAAACAGACTGAAGTTTCTAGTATACAGAGAACCTTATGGTATGACTATACGTGTTTCAATATGTGTGCAAGTGTGTGTGTCTGTGTGTACATAGGTAAGTGCAAATGGATGTTCGTGTTTGAGTTGCGTGTGTGTCTGAGCACATGTTGTTTCTTTTGCAACATTTCAGATGTTAAACAGTTAGGCCGTAGTGTTTTCTGCTTAAAACTTATTGTTTGAAGTGGAACTGAGAAGACATTTTCGTTTACGAAAGGAATGCAGTCCTCTGCCTGCAGGCACAGTCATAGGCACTTCAAGTCCCTCCCACCATGACATGCCCATCACTTCTCTGACACTGCCTCACATGTAAAGCGAATCATTGCAGCTCTGACCACTACAGGAAAGGCTGGGCTGTGCTGGTCAGGAGGGCACACAGCCGACTGGTTTTAGAGGCATACCTGCTCTGTGCCGAGTTTGCGGCAGCCTGCATCACGGCTGCAGCGGCTTCCTGGGCCTTCCGGTTCACAGTGGGCATTGGTGGGCCCATTCCTGGTCCTCCCTGCTGAGACATGCCAGGAGAACTGGGGGTGACGTTGCTCATGTTTCCGGGAAATGGTCTGTTCTGCATCCCAGCTGAGGGCATTCGTCCCAGGGGCATAGCACCACATGGCTGGGTTGGCCCTTGTCCATGCATCTGGTTGTTGGCATTGATGCTCATACCAGGCCCTGGGCCACTGTAGCTTGCACTGGGTACCCCACTATACGATGGGGTTCTGGAGTAGTTGCCTAAACAAAAAGAAAAGACAAGGTAAAGGCTTTTATTTAAACATTCATGAAAATATTAACTGGAAATATAATCTTGCAATGAGACGCCCACCACAGGGTGCTGCTAGGCACTACTTGTGCTCTGTATCTGCTCTTTCCTCTGCAGCCGTGGCTGCCTTCCCAAGGCACCTGGAGAACCAGCTCAATGCCAGAGAGTCTACCAGACTCTACAACACCGGGATAAAAAGCATGTCTTGGACCATGCTGCACCAAGCTGGGCTGGGGGCTTGGGCTAGTCCCCCCAGCTATCTGGGCAACTGAGGCAGGAAGAGCGCATGCTCAGCACTGCTTGGGCTACTGGGAGAGTTCAAGGATAGCTGGGCCACCACATTGCCGAACATGCACAGGGCCTCAGAGTCAGTCCCCTGTGCTGCAGAAACAAAACAATGAAAGGGTTCCAAGCCCAAAATATCGTCAATGTGTTGGATACCTTACATTCTTTCACTCTGCCCAGAATTATAATGTCAGATGGTCTTCACGTGAGGGCCACGAGCACACTCTACCACACCCCACCCCTACCTGATTGTGGAGAGATACACTGAGGCCGAAATGACCCTGCCTGACCTCACAGGAAGGTGTCACGTGCACCTGCAGTGGTCCAACATGGCTTTTCTCTAACATTGGGTCCAACCCTTTCCAATCTCAGACTGAGGCCTGCTTTCTATTCTCTATGCTCGGTGTCATGCCTTATGTCTCTAAGCACTCGCATGACACTGGGCACAGGGAGTGGCGGTGTGAAGGGAGGAAGGCAGGGTCTGGGGCTGAGGCCACACGCCACCCTCACCCCTCCTAACTCCTCTGGCCTGGGGAGGCACCTGCAGGGCTCCAAGCAGCTCTACCCATCTTTCCTTCCTGCCTTTTACCCAGGCTGCGCATACATAAGTTACATGCATACACATTAGAGGATCTGTGCTAACACTTCAGTAACAGCAGCAGAGGCCAGCTGCTGGGCCAGAATGGTTACAGTGTTCTGCCCCATGACTTAAGCCTGTTCTCCCAATAACCAAACACATCACTCATTATAAATGAGAAAAACCCAAGCTTGGAGATTAGGACTGAGGCTCATGCAAACTGGTATGAGAACCCATGTCTTAATTAAGGAAACGTGCTGTCTCCCAGGAACAAAGTGTTGAGAAATAATATAAATGTAAACCAAACCAAACCAAAACCAAAACCAAAACCAAAACCAAAACCAAAACCAAACCAAAGCAAAAAAACCAAGTATCTGTAGACTATGGACAGAATTTCTCAATGGTTCTAACTACATTCTGGAACATTCTCCCATCTCCTAATACTAGCACATACATAAACATGCCAGCAGCTGCTCCAGGTACGGGGGAAATAAAGATAGTAGCTGCATACACAGTGCACAGTAGTGTTTGTCGTTCAGGTGAAGGGAAAAAACAAAAGCAAAACCATGTGATGGTGACAGGAAGTGAGTCTGTCTGGGATGGGGGCTCAGGGACGCCATGATGGAGTGGTGTGCCTTTGTCTGCACAAGCAGCGGTGGGGTAGAAACCTCAGGTGCTGATGTAGGACAGGCTTGGGGTGAGCCCTGTGTGTACTGACGGCACTCTTGGGAAACCTGCTCCAGCTTTTTTCCTCTGACTTAATCCTCTGGAGGCTCATGACATAGGCATAAAGTCCCCAAACACAAAATGTGGTGGAGGGTTCCTGGCTGGCAGGGGAAGAGGCAGAAAGAAGCACGCACAGGCAAGCCAGGGGACAGTCCATAAGCAGCAGAGAATGGCCATGACAGCCACTGAGGAGCACTGTGGAGCTGGGAGGGGAGAGGAAAGCAGCTGGAGCCCCAGGCCTGAGGGCCACACTCAGAAATGCACGCACACCTGAGGAAGACATGATGGAGCTACTCAAGCATTTTCAGTAAACAAAAATGGATTGATAAGAAAAACCAAATCTTCATTATTATTATTATGTGCTAAGTTCAGTTCCGAGTTCTTCAAAGTAACTCTTTGATGTTCAAGAAAGTATTTCACTGGAATTCATTTGGGAGGTGAGGATTCAAGACCCTGGGATAAGCCGGGTGCAGTGGTACACATGCCTGTAATCCCAGCACTCAGGGAGGCAGAGGCAGGTGGATTCCTGTGAGTTCAAGCCAGCCTGGTTTACAAAGTGAGTCCAGGACAGCTAGATATACACAGAGAAAGCCTGTCTCGAAAAACCAAACCCAAACCCAAACCAAACAAAGAGCCTGTGATGGTAAGTTACCTGTCTCAAATAACTGGGGAGTCAGGGTGTGGCCCAGGTAGGTTAAGAGCCTGGCTTGGAGTGCAAGCACTCTGTTTTGGGTATGACTTCTTCAATGCTCAAGAAACAGTATATTTATGTAACCAGGCAGTGACGACGTTCAAACAGGTTTTCTTAAATCCATATAAAGCAGAATGGTCTCCAGAGCTGCAGGAAGTGAGAAATTTCCAGCTCACTGGGCACCTACCTGCTGTTGGGTGCATGGTGGGTGAGCTTCCTTCTTCAACTGCCTGTTGAAGCATGAGCTGTTATTTATGGGTAAGATAGAGGCCCTGTTTATGCAGTCCATGCGCTGGCATGGTATGTCTGCTGAGGGCTGGAGAGTAAAGATTTAAAGCACTGGGGGGCCCCAATCTAGGCCAATACAGCTTAAAGCCCCAAGGCAGCCACATGGAGATCCATACAGAGTTGCATCAAGTGTGTATCTACAAAACAGGGTCAAGACAAGAAGGAAATAATGTGCTGACCTCGGAAAGAGACCAGTCCTTGAATATGGCCATAACCTGTTACACTGGCTCACGTCCGTGCTGTCTTTAAGCAGAATGCCATCATGAAGCCTGAAAGTGGACATGAGAAGATTCTAAAGAGGCAAAAAACTGAGAACCTGAACGCAGGAGGATAAAAGTTGCAACATGAGGCAGGTTGATGGCTGGTCCTTACACCAAAACACAGCACCTTTGCAATATTAAAATGTGCAGAGATACCCATGCACACACTGTTTTCAAAACACACAAACTGCTCACAAACTCCTTCCAGAAAGTTCTGAAGTGGCTTCTGAGTGTTCCATCCTTTGGGTTGTCTGCTTACAGAGACCACCTCGGTAGAAACACCACCTTCCTGGATCTTCAGGGAAGTTGGTCCAATAAATGCTTCACTGTGAGCAGGGGCCCTGACTCTTCCTCCCCTCCCTGGATTCATAGGCCCCCATGTGCAGTATCTGAGTCTCAGCTTATCAAACAAATGAAGTAAACTCATTTATAGTGCGAGCATGCAAGTAACATATCCACACGTCCACACATTACTTGGAGGCCACTTCGTACCCTCCCGAACATTTAATGAACACTTGTAGGTAGAAGCCCTTTTCTTCAGTGAACACCTTTCCTTTTCAATGACACTTGGATCTTTCTTTAGAACAAGCTTCTTTGACATGGCTCCTGCCAAATGGACCATGCTCTCAATGCCATTTTTCTAGAGAAGCATGCTCCTGCCCTCGTTGAGATCTGCTGACTGTGGGAGAGAGACACTATGGCTGAGCTCTCCCACTCTGGGTCTGACATATTGTAGGGTGGGGACCTAAAAAATGTGATGTAAGCTAGATCTTGATGAGCCTAGGTGGATGCATGGCTTGGCCTTCCTGATTGCCCTGAGCCCTCCAAGCTCTCATTCCTTTGTAGAGTGGGGGCCAGCTTGCAGTGGGGTTCTGGCTTGGGCAGGGAGCACTCTGGCCTAGGAGGCAAGTGTGGGGCACGGTCACATGGCTCTCCTGTGCAGGCCTGTACTGGCCTTAACACTGGGTTCTCAGTCTATTTCCTTCAGTCAGCTGGGTTGACTCAGAATCACATGCTTCTATTTGGGAGAAGAAATACAAAGTTCCCATTCTTTTTCTTGAAGTTTTAAAGAATTTCTTCCCTAAACCTATGTGCCTGGATAACCACACTTTCTGAAGGCTCCAAATGCTTCGGAGGTAAAGCGCAGGCTTCGGCATGAGGAGCCGAGCCCTGCTTCTGGCACGGCCTGGCAGCATGACCTTCACAGGTTATCTAACTTCCCTACACTGTAGTGCTGTCACCATGGCGGCGTGATGTGAATGTGGAACAGGCAGGAAAGCACAGAGCCTGTGGTGCAATCATTAGTGCTGTGCTAAGGGACAACACCAGTATCACCTTCCCTACTACCTTTATAGATGAGTGGACACTGCAAGGCATGATCTGCCCCACCCTATGCGGTCTATAGCTCATCTTCCTCCTCCAGCAAGGAGAATCCAAATGTGTAAGCCAAGAAAAATAGGAGAGAAAAAGCCAGGAATGAGAAGTGCAGTCTTCGGTGCATGTTTCTCTAATAGATTAGTAATTTGTTGGCACTCGCTCTGACAGAGAGCAGATGGATGCAGCATTAGGCACAATGAAGGCAGCAGGTACCGGGCCAGCCCACCTCAGCTGGACTGCTCCTGCAGCCAAGTCCGAGAGCCCACCGTTTGCAAGTGGGTTCCTCTTGGCACACCAGCTTTGAAGATGAGTGACGAATGGATTCAGATTCCAACCCACCAGGAGCGACACTCAAGCATCTGACAGAGGAAGCGGCAGCCACAGTCCACTTAGTCACCACCATTATTTTAGGAGGCTGCATTGAATTCTGTGTTTGACTTGAGTATGTTGGTATGTGGCAGTCACCTCAGTCCGTGATGCTCCTGTTCACAAACCGAGTGTTTCTGTTCTCACAGGAGACCCTGTGCCTGGCTGACACAGCCGAAGGTCTGAGGAGGACAAAAGGTGATCTGCTTCTGAACTTAGACCTTCTACCTTGGACAGACACAATCTGCGTGAGCAGTTACAGGCTATAAAAAATAAGTTCATGGGCTGGAGAGATGGCTCTGTGGTTAAGAGCGTTTAGGGCTCTTGCAGAGGACCTAGGTTCAGGTCCCAGCAGCTCATAATCTGTAACCCTTGTTCCAAAGGATCTGACCTGTCTTCTGACCTCTGTGGGCATCAGGCATACATAAGGCGGGTACACTCACATACATATACACAGGCAAACACTCACACACATGAAATGAAAATACATTCAGTATTTATTGAAATATAACTTACATACAACAAGCAAATATAACTAACATATAGCAACTGTGAACACCAGTGCAATTAAGACACAGAATATTGTTACCATGACAAAAAGATCCCTTTCTAGGCACTCAAGAGCGTACTCCCAATTCACCACAGTGTTAATCCATTCATGACTGTGGGTAGAGGTTCACTTGTGGATACTGTTGCTAATAGTGCCTGGCAATTGTGAAGAGAGCTCTGTGTGGATGTATTTTTGTTTCACTTGGGAAATTCCAGGTATCAGCAAGTTGGGTTGCACAGTACGTGTGATGTTAACTTGACAGGAAGAAAGCAGGTGGTAGCCATGTGCCCCGAGCACACAGCCATTAGGTACTGCATGACAGTGACTGATGGCAGCCAGAACTGAACACTGCCAGTTGTTCAAAAGTCCTGGCTACTCTAACAGGCATGGGACACAATTAACCATGGCTTTGAATTTTCATTTTGCTCATGAGAGATAACTAAATATTTTTCTTTTGTGTTTTGCTGATAAAAACCTCTCTGTATTTATAACAACAAAAATAGATATATTTTAAAAAGAAAACCACAAAACTCCTCTTTCCAGTCGGACCTACCATACAATCCTCTTTGGGTCACAGATCAAGTAATTAAGGAGACCACAAATGGAGGTTCAAAACTAAATCCTACTATTGGAGGGAATAATGGTTGTGCTTTGCACTGGAACACAAAGCGCCTGCTTTCCTCAGGTCTTACACTCATTCTGCACTGTTTGTTACTACAGTATCACTTTCAACCTTAGGAAGCTTTTTTTCTCTTCTGCATGTGTTAATAACAGTTCTGAAAAAAAAAA